GACATAGGGTCGAGGTCCGTCATCGAAAGCTGACAGTATCACACAAGACAGAAGCCTTCTCTGGTTTGTACACTCCCACTTTTTCTGTGCCCCAGTTGCTGTATTCCCCGAAAGCAAGGTACCTGCCTAGACAGGATAGATAGATACCCCTGTGGCCCCCAAAGCCTCTGCCCATTCCGAATTCCGCCAGCCAAGACTGGATATGATACGCAGTTTGGGAGACATCTGGAAAGATGAGGAGAAAGCCATAATGTTACTTATATCTGAGGGTGTTATCGTCGAAGCTTCTTTTGATATACGAAGACGGATGCTACCCGCCAATTTCTCTTCTTCGAGACTGGAAGGAGTGCGAGTGTGGAAAGGGGGGCTAGGAGGTCCCTTTGAGTCCATAATAATCGCCTGGAGGCTTTGTAGATGAACATGAACACTATTGGGAATGTAGAGAAGACGTCATACTTCAGGCTGCTACTGCTGCCATCTTGCATTTCTGCAAGTTTGAAGCAGAGAGAAGACGTTGAAAGTAGGTAAAGAAAAGCGGCGGCAAAGGCGCAACCTGTGAGGTACGTACCATGGCCGCATTCGCATGGCCTAGGTATGTAGCATTCGCCGTATGTACCTGACTGCCCGCTGTGCCTGGCGCCTTCTGTATGTACCCCACAAGAAAATAAGACCAGGAACAGAAACAAACCTCAAGGCACAATGACTGGGCGGGCCCCTTGTTGGAGTGTTGACCCCCCCCTTTTTTTTTTCCATTTCTTACCAGCCGCCAAGAGGGAGCAGGGGAGGGGAGGCAAAAGAAACCAAATTCGGCCAAAAAAGGGTCTGGCTCCTCTCTTTCTTCTCGGATGCGACCACTGAAATACGGGGTAGGATTTTTGGTGGTGCAGGGGTTCCATTTCAAGGGTCCAGGGGTTTTTTTTTTTTCGCAGCGACAGCGACGGCGACGGGACTACGAACTACGGTAAGTATCACCAGTTTTTGTGCCCTGTATAACCTCATTGTGAGCTCTACTTTTTTTTTTTTTTTTT